GAGGACTCTAGTGCACTGCTGGTGGGAATGCAGACTGGTGCAACCACTGTGGAAAACAACATGGTGTTACCTCAAAAAATTAAAAATTGAACTTCCATTTGACCCAGTGATCTCGCTTCTAGGAATATACCCTAAGAAGCCTGAAACACCAATCAGAAAGAATATATGTACCCCCATGTTTATAGCAGCACTATTTACAATAGCTAAGATCTGGAAACAGCCCAAATGTTCATCAGTAGATGAATGGATAAAAAAGCTGTGGTACATATACAAGATGGAGTACTATGCAGCTGTAAGAAAGAAAGATCTCTTATCCTTTGAGACGCCATGGAGGGACCTGGAAAGTATTATCCTAAGTGAAACAAGCCAAGCAGAAAAAGAAAAATACCACATGATCTCACTTATATATGGAATATAATGAATATAACAGTCTGAGGAATAGGGAAGACCCAGCAGCACGGAACTAGGGTATAGACTGACAACCTTCAGAAGAGGGGGTGGTGGTGGGTGAAAAGAGATAAACCACAGAACTTATATGCATATAGCATAAGCAATGCATATGGACAACAAAGCCGGGGATGGGGGGGGGGGGGGCGGGAGCTGGGGAGGAGGATGTCAATGGGGTAAAAAGGGAGAAACATCTGTAACAAAAATAAAATTAAAAAAAAATAAAAATAAAACAAACAAACAAACAAAAAAACTCATTTTATGAAGCCAGTATAATTCTAATTCTAAAACCAGAAAAAGACTCTACAAAGAAAGAAAACTACAGGTCAATATCCCTGATGAACATAGACGCCAAAATCCTGAACAAAATACTGGCAAATCAGATCCAGCAATACACCAAAAAAATTATTCACCATGACTAAGTGGGATTCATCACAGGGATGCAAGACTGGTACAATATTCGCAAATCAATAAATGTGATACACCACGTAAACAAAATGAAGAATAAAAACCACATGATCATATCAATAGATGCTGAAAAAGCATTTGACAAAATCCAGCAGCCATTTCCGATAAAAACGCTCAGCAATGTGGGAATAGAGGGATCATATCTCAACATAATAAAAGCTATATATAAGAGACTTAACAGCCAACATCATACTCAATGGGCAAAAACTAAAAGCCTTTCCCCTAAGAACAGGAACAAGACAGGGATGTCCACTTTCGCCACTCTTATTTAACATAGTACTGGACATCCTAGCCACAACATTCACAGTAAAAAAAAATTAAATAAAAGGGATCGAAATTGGAAAGGAGGAATTGAAACTGTCATTATTTGTAGATGACATGATATACATAGAAAACCCTAAAGACTCCATCAAAAATCTACTAGACTTAATAAATGAATTCAGCAAAGTAGCAGAATACAAAATTAACATCAAGAAATCGATGGCATTCTTATACACCAATAATGAACTCACAGAAAGAGAACCTAAAAAAACAATCACATTTACCATTGCAGCAAAAAAAAATTAAGATACCTAGGAATAAACTTAACCAAAGACGTAAAGGACCTATTTGCAGAAAACTACAGGATATTGAAAAAAGAAATAGAGGAAGATATAAAAAAGTGGAAGCACATACCTTGTTCATGGATTGGAAGAATTAACATAATTAAAATGTCCATATTTCCGAAAGTAATCTATAGATTCAATACAATCCCCATCAAAATACCAATGACATATTTCACAGAACTAGAACAAATACTTCAAAAGTTCATATGGAACCAAAAAAGACCCTGAATGGCCACAGCAATCTTGAAAAAGAAGGACAAAGTAGGTGGGATCACAATACTAGATATCAGGTTATACTACAAAGCTACTCTTATCAAAACAGGCTAGTACTGTCACAATAACAGGCATATAGACCAGTGGAACAGAACAGAGAAACCAAAAATGGACCCAAGACACTGTACTCAATTAATATTTGACAAAGGAGGCAAGAGCATACAATGGAGTAAGGACAGCCTCTTTAATAAATGGTGTTGGGAAAATTGGACAGCTACATGTAAAAAATTGACCATCAACTTACACCATACACAAGAATAAACTCAAAATGGATAAAAGAATTACATGTAACCTGTAAATCCATAAAAATCCTAGAAGAAAATGTAGGCAACAAAATTTCGGACATCATGTGCATCAGAATTTTTACTGATACATCACCTAAGGCAACAGAAACATAGGAAAAAATGAACACATGGGACTACATCAAACTCAAAAGCTTCTGCACAGCAAAAGAAACAATTATCAAAATGGAAAGGCAACCCACTGTATGGGAGATCATAATTGCCAATGATATATCAGATAAGGGGTTAATTTCCAATATATAGAGAGTGCTCATAGTACTCAACAAAAGGAAGACAAAGAATCCAATTAAAAAGTCGGCAGAGGAACTGAATAGACACCTCCCAAACAGGACATACAAATGGCCAAGAGACATATGAAGAAATGCTCAACATCACTAATCATCAGAAAGATGCAAATTAAAACAACAACGAGGTATCACCTCACACGTGTCAGAATGGCCGCCATCAACAAATCATCAAACAACAAGTGTTGGCGAGGGTGTGGAGAAAAGGGGACTCTAGTACACTGCTGGTGGGAATGCAGACTGGTGCAGCCACTGTGGAAAACACTATGGTGTTACCTCAAAAAATTAAAAATTGAATTGCCATTTGACCCAGTGATCTCAGTTCTAGGAATATACTCTAAAAAGTTCGAAACACTAATCAGAAAGAGTATATGTACCCCCATGTTTGTAGCAGCACTGCTTACAATAGCTAAGATCTGGAAACAGCTCAAGTGTCCATCAGTGGACGAATGGATAGAAAAGCAGTGGTACATATACACAATGGAATACTATGCAGCTGTAAGAAAAAAAGATCTTTTATCCTTTGAGACGACATGGAGGTTCCTGGAAAGTATTATCCTAAGTGAAACAAGCCAAGCAGAAAAAGACAAATATCACATGATCTCACTTATTTGTGGAATATAATGAACATAGCATTCTGAGGAATAGAGTAGACCCAGAGATGTGGAAGTAGGGTACAGACTGACAGCCCTCAGAGCAGGGTGGATGGGGGAAGTGAAGAGATAAACCACAACACTTGTATGTATGTAAGCATAACCATTGGACACAGACAACAAAGCCGGGGATGGGATGGGGAGGAGGATGTCAGTGGGGGAAAAAAAACAAAAACATCTGTAACAAAAATAATATTAAAAAAAAGAAATAGAGAGAGAACCCTCCTTGAAATCCCTGGTCACGTTTCTCATCAGTGGTACAGCAGAGCAGTCATGCTGAGGTTGGACTGACAGTTAGAGGGGTTTTGAGAGAAGGCTTGAGATGTTTGCAAATCCACAAATTACTAAATACTCCTGTATCGATTTTCCCATAAAATTCTCTAAGGTACAATAACATGTAAGCTTAAAAATGAAGTTGGAGTCTGAAATGGCAAGTGTATGGAATGAGGAATTCTTCAATACTAATGAGAACATCATAGCAATATTTGGCCCTGTGGTTGGTCCAGAGGATGATAAAGCGAGACAGGTGCTGGCCAGGTAGAGGAGAAGAGGAGGAAAGAAGACAGACAGAAACACAGAAGCAGGTTCTGAGGGTAGAGGCAGGCTCGGAAGGAACGGCAAAGCGGCAGAATCAGCCTGAAGACTAGTTTTTCCTTCTCGTTAAGAAACCACAGCAATGTTGGACTTAGTTGAGAAGCAGCAAGGAGCTTTGATGAGCCAAGTAGAATAGGGAGCAGGGGAGAACCATAGGTCCTACAAAGTATGCAAGATTAAACCAAATGGGGACCCAATCATTATTTATCATTATTATTTGATTTTCATATCTGATATATTAGCAATTTCATGTAATAACTAGAAAGTATATTTTTAAAAGGACAAAATAGGACAATATCATTTTCAGCATCTCAACTGCAAACTTAGCCAACATTTTTTGGAAACTTGTATTTATTAGTCTTTGGAATTTTATATTTAAATATATTAAAATATTACTTTTCATTTGAGTTTGAAAAAAAACTTTAGATAGATTCTAGAACCTATAAAACCAATATCAACTTGAACCATTAGTTTTGAAACGTTATAAGTGTGACTCTTTGTACCTACCTCCAGGCAATGTTTCCAAGAAAATAAGCAAAAGATAAACACAGTACATTGTGTAGTTCTTTTTGTGCTAATGAGTTACTCATCCTGCTGGCAAATCTTTCAGCCAGTTGAGCTATATTTTCCCTTATTATCTTTCTGTATGCCTTCCTTTAAAAGCTTGTTTTTGGATTGCCCCATGTTAACTTACTAAACAGAGCGAAAGAACTGGTAACTTTTGTAAGCCACAGCGTAGCACACGTTTATCTTTTACCCTGTCCACATTTACTTTTTGATATATATGGGATGAACAACTCTTTATTTCTTTGCAGATTTAAAGAGAGAAATAGTCTTCCTTTATTCACTCCAAGAATAGTTGGGAAGCTGAAATTGGTGTTTTGCTCATTCCCGATTTATCAAATGACTTGGACTTTTGTCCTTTTTCATTTTAATCTGTTTTTTTAATGTCTATAACAAAACTATAGAAAAAATGTAATCCCAATGTAACTTCACAAAAAGTTAAAAGTAGAATTAGAAATAGGCGATCTTAAAGATTATACCTTGTCTAGTTTAACCACAGTAAACAAATGTTTGATGGTATACATATTCTATCATGGCATTTTACAAATGGAAATATTAGAAATACAAGTTATACTAAAAATATATAGCATATCAGCAATCTGAATAACTTAAAAGAGATGAAATAAGAAGTTAACTACATTCGGTTGATACTTATCAATCATTTGAAATAAACTTACTCAACATTTTACATTTTATTTATTAATTATTATGTCACCTATAAAGGACAAAAATCAAGAAGTCTTACATATATTTGGTTTTTAAGTTGTACATTGTAATAATATAAAATACAAGTGAAAAAACATTGCTTACCTTAGACGTAGTAAAAGGACACTGGCGACTTGACCACAACCAGCTCAGGTTCTACGGAGACGGAGTGTCTCAGCGGCTCCCACCGCTGCGGGACAGGCGACTGGCCTCACCAACTAGCCGGAAAGAGAGGCTCTCAAGTGCTTGGCGGTCTCATGTTTCATCCCCTCCCGTCAGCAACAGGCGTGCAGCTAATTTTACTCAGTGACATACACAGCTCACACCAGCTTAAACTTGTTTGAGCACCCGTTATAGGACACAGTTATAACTGTGCCAAAAAAATTCCTACACAACCAATGTTTAAACTCTGAATCGTAACAGCCTTATACCACTTTTCAAAATCAACTTTATTTCAAATGAATAATAGAAAGCTTCTGAGATGGTTTCCAGTAGAATCTAATGTTGACAAAATCTTAAAAATCGCTTCAAATTAACATACATTTAGAACTTACAACTTTATCTGTATTAATTGTATGCTGTTCTCATCCAAGTGAGCCGTGTATCATGCAATAGTCACTCTTTAAAAATTACTTCCTTGAAGCCTCTTTTTAAATGAAAAACTCTAATATTTGAGCAAAAAATCTTACGATAATGATCATAGTAAACAGAAGATAAACTCTCTTAAAATTGCATTTTTTTCTAGTAAACTAAATTTGTATTATATCTAACAAATTATGTGAATGGAATAATGTGATCTTTATGTCATATCTTTATTTAAAAAGAATAACAAATCATTCCATTTTTATAAAGTGTTCCTGAAGAAAGTAGAACAGATATTACCTTTTTAAATTGTTTTAATCTTTCATTTTGTATCATTTTTATGTAGCCTGGTTAGCAGATTGAACTAAAACTAACTAAATTATAGATTTGAAATCAGTATTTTAGTATTAAATCTTGAATATGAGACACAATGTAATGATAATCCATATATTTAATTTTTATTTTATTTTATTCTCAGGAGACCTTTTATCTTATTTTATTTCTTCATATTCTAACTTATTTTGAAATTTGATGCTTCTTATACAATAGCTGTGGACCTTAAAGGCTGATACAACTTCAACTAATAAGGCATATATTATATGATATTTTAAAATATTTCATGAATTCTCTGTACATTACATCATGAAATTTCAATTAGACATAAATTATAGCACAGCTATCAATTATTAACAAAAAACGTTTCACAATGATGATATGCGATGACTTTTTTTTTTTTTTTTCATCCTTACCCGAGGATATTTTTCCATTTTTTTGTACAGATAGAGTGGGAGGGAGAGAGAGGAAGGGAGAGAGAGAGAGAAACATCGACGTGAAAGGGACACATCGAGTGGCTGACACCCGCACGACCAGCCAGGGCCGGGGACAAACTGCAACCGAAGTACATGCCCTTAGCGGGAACCGAACCCGGGTCTCTCCGGACCGCAGGCCGACGCTCTAACCGCTGAGCCAAACTGGCCAGGGCTACGATGACTTTTTATATTCCCACTTACAGATTGATTTAATATTGTCAACTTCTACTTTTAATCCTTCAGGAGGATGACTTAGAGAGAAATATTTTCAATTTTGTAAAATAGTTGAAATGATTAAAACAGTGTCTTCAAAGGTTTTAACTAACTCGCAGGCACACATCTCATATCATTTGAACGAATTGTAACATCCTGGAGCTGCGGGAGGCCGCACAGAAATCCTCCCATTCCACTGGGCTGAGAGTCTGTGCGAGGGTATGGGGCGGGGAGGCGTGGACCGAGGTGGCTTTGCCAGCCTTTGGCTCCCACCTGTCCGCACATCCAAGTCCTCTGAGGGTCCAGCCTCCTCTCTCCTCCTGTCTCCTGCTCTCTCGCCCTCAGTGTGCAGTCCTGCCCTCCTCCTCCTCCTGCCCTCCTCCTTCTCCTGCCCTCCTCCTCCTCCTCCTGCCCTCCTCCTCCTCCTGCCCTCCTCCTCCTCCTCCTCCTGCCCTCCTCCTCCTCCTCCTGCCCTCCTCCTCCTCCTGCCCTCCTCCTCCTCCTCCTGCCTTCCTCCTCCTCCTCCTGCCCTCCTCCTCCTCCTCCTGCCCTCCTCCTCCTCCTCCTCCTGCCTTCCTCCTCCTCCTCCTGCTACCCTCCTTCTCCTCCTGCCCTCCTCCTCCTCCTGCCCTCCTCCTCCTGCCTTCCTCCTCCTCCTGCCCTCCTCCTCCTCCTCCACCTGCCCTCCTCCTCCTCCTATCCTCCTCCTCCTCCTGCCCTCCTCCTCCTCCTGCCCTCCTCCTCCTACCCTCCCTCCTCCTCCTCCTCCTCCCTCCTCTCCTACCCTCCTCCTCCTCCTCCTCCTGCCCTCCTCCTCCTCCTGCCCTCCTCCTCCTCCTCCTCCTACCCTCCTCCTCCTCCTGCCCTCCTCCTCCTCCTCCTCCTGCCCTCCTCCTCCTCCTCCTGCCCTCCTCCTCCTCCTATCCTCCTCCTCCTCCTGCCCTCCCCCTCCTCCTCCTCCTCCTCCTGCCCTCCACCTGCCCTCCTCCTCCTCCTACCCTTCTCCTCCTCCTCCTCCTGCCCTCCTCCTCCTCCTCCTACTGCCCTCCTCCTCCTCCTGCCCTCCTCCTCCTCCTACCCTCCTCCTCCTCCTGCCCTCCCCCTCCCCCTCCTCCTACCCTCCTCCTCCTCCTCCTGCCCTCCCCCTCCTCCTCCTGCCCTCCTCCTGCCCTCCCCCTCCTCCTCCTGCCCTCCTCCTCCTCCTCCTGCCCTCCTCCTGCCCTCCTCCCCCTCCTCCCCCTCCTCCTGCCTCCCCCTCCTCCTGCCCTCCCCCTCCTCCTCCTCCTCCTCCTGCCCTCCTCCTGCCCTCCTCCTCTTCTTTTCTGCCTGGGGGCAGACAACAGTCTGCTGCTACCTGTGCAGCTTGAGAAGTTGGGTTGAGAGGTTGCTTTTAGAATTACTAAGAATTGTTCATTTCTGGCAGGGATATGGTTAGTTTTGAATAAATCACTTTTGTTTTTGACATGAAGAGGGAGGTATGGTAGCGTGGTGACAGGGGTGAAATTGCTCCAAGTTTGAGGAGAACAGAGAAGTTCAAAGTCGTTGCCGTGAAGGCTGGGTGTACATTGACTAGCACAGGTACTAGACTGTGCAGGGCCCAGCTGAAGCTGATGGGTAGACAGCCGTCCCGTCTCTAATAGTTCCTGTGACTTTATGCACTGATGGCAGCTGTGAGCTCCTGTCACTAAATCTCCCCAAACCACACCACAGCTTCCTCCCAAACCAACTCACTGAATCCCCAAGCCATCTCTTGTCTATCCTTCCTCTCTTGGTTTCTGGCCACAAAGTCACAGAGATGGATGTGGGGACCTCCCTCACACAAGATGGCCAGCCACTAAGCTCCCAGTGTCGCCTGCTGGGCCTCCGCCTTGGGTCCTGTCTGACCGGGCCTCACCGTCAAGCCCAGCTCGCTGCTGTAGCTGGTAGCTGCTGCCCGGTTCCAGGCCCTGCCCACCCCACCTTCACTCCTGGGACACCCGAGGGACGCCGACAACAGGTTGTCCTGTCCATATCAGTCCCTGCTTAACGCCCTCGCCGAGCCCTCAGAATAGGGCGCCCGTTCCTGAGGGGCACACGCACCTTGATGAGTGCACGTTGGCCATCTCCACTGTCCCTTGCTTTTTGGGTTCCATAGGAAAACACAAAATTTACTGTGCCGTTGGGTGCCTGGCCATATCTCTGAGTAGTGTTACCTCCCATCTTTTTCACTGGAGAAGTGTGTAACTTTTTTTTTTATCCTCATCTGAGGAGGTGTTTTTCATTGACATTTTCAGAGAAAGAAGGAGACAGAGAAACGTCGATGTGAGAGTGAAACATTGATAGGTTGCCTCCCGTACGCACCCTGAACGGAGAGCGAACCCACAGCCCAAGTGTGTTCTGACCTGGCAACAAACACACCACCTTCCAGTGCACGGGATGGCGCTCCGACTGAGCCACACTGGCCAGGGCTGGGGAACTGTGTAACTTTAAGTCCATTCACATGTTACCATCAGATTTTCATGTATTTTCAAAATATCATAGTTATTTGTGTTCACATGGCCGCCACAGGTCTGCGCACCTGTTCTCTGCTAGCGGGGGGCTCCTTGCCCAGCACAGGAGAGGTCTGTACACAAATGACAGCATGGCCTTCGTGTGCACCTGCTTTTATACCGCACGGCAGTGATAAAAGTGGGCAAATGAAATGCGAAACAAAGTTATTTTGGAAGGCATACATTTGAATGTTTTTAAAAATATTCTGCCAATTATTTGTCCCTCCGATTGTAGCTACACTTCTTCAAAATAGATGGTCACACCTTTCCTGTAAGCAAAGTGAGTGATCAGAGGATTCTACACACAGCTAAAATCCAAAGGGTTCTGCTGGGAAATGCAATTACCTTGATGATTCTCACTCAGATTCTCTGGTTATTCTTAAATAGGGATCATCCAAGTGCATACATTTTAACAAAGATAGTTCATATTCTCTTTAGAATTGCCATATTAATAAAAATAAAACTGATTTCTAGACTACTAAATGTAGGTATTTCATGATATTTTTGTTAACAGAGGGAAGAGAGCCTCATCTCCCCCGGTTGCTAGTGGGGGTGGATTTCTTGTGATATCCCAAGAAGAAGAATTTCTGAGACTCACACTGGAGGATAAGATATGGGAGGAAGCTTTACTTCCTTGGAATTACACCCCTGCGTTTCCAAAGTCCCATTTCTCAGTCCAGTCATAGAAGAAGTGTAGCTGGGGCTCAGTAGAGCTAAAAGCAAAGCCAGTGTCCAGTTTCCCTTCCGTGCCCGCACAGTTCAATCCAGCCTCAGGCCAGCTTCCTCTTTGTTTTCCCATTGCAGTCTGTCAGCCCGTTGCACGGGGGGTCTGCAGGCCACATGGCCATCAGGGGAGCCATGAGCAAAAGAGCCCCATCAGCCAAGACTTACCAAGAGTCACGAACCAAGCACACCGAGCGCAACGAGAGAGAGATTCCTTTGTTTAGGGGATTATGTATTTCCAAATTTCCATGTGTTTGCAGTGACCATGCACATTCTGGCCAACCATCTCTGTCCCCAGGTTCAACGGACAGAGACGTTCCCTAGTCACCCCAACTT